GCTGCTGCAGGCAGCGGGAGGGTACAGCGGGCAGCTGGCCTGTCTTCCGGCCTAGAGTTCAGGGTCAGGTGGGCGTGGTCGCAAAGGGGAGAAACTGAGCTCTGAGACAGCTGTCTTCTACAGGGTTTAAGATGTCCAGAGGCTACCACCGGGCTTTCTGCCCGCTCAGTCGGGCAAAAGGCATACGTTACTTGGCTCACGTGGCATTTAGAAATTTTGAGATAATATGGCACTGCACACCAGTGCGTGTGTTTTAGGACGAGAGCTTGGGCAGCCGAGAGCACAGCCGAGTGGAAAGGGAAGACTTGAAGAGCTTATATCCAGAGGGTGTGACCATGGGCTCCAGCCCGAGGGGACAGACTTTTCCCCTGCCGGGGGGAAGTTGGGTGGAGGGAAGTGAGGGGCTGACTTCTCCATTAGGCATGGTGCCCAAGGCCCACAAAAACGTTTTAATTTATTTAAAATCAGAAGAAAGAAAAACTTTTAGCTCTAAGAGAATGTCATAATACTTAATATTAGAATAGTCATCTGTATACCAATACACTTAAGGCCAAAGAGAAATTTAACGTATGGTTGGGAGTGGGCCAGTACAGTCTTAAATGGTAATTTTAATGTTTTTACGGAGGAAGGTGCCCACGTGGCCGGGGTGCAGGAAGTAGCAGGAGGCAAAGGAGCGGCCCGCAGACGTTCCTGCATCAGGCCTGCAGGGGGCGCCGGAGGCACGTCGCACGAGCGCGGGGAGGAGTCGCCGTCGGGCCCTCCAGGAGAAGGTGAGGAATTCAGGGTGGGGCCGTGGAGAGGACCCTGGGGGGACAGCCTGGGGCACGCCTCATGGAGAGACAGACGCTCTCCAAAGGAGAGGGGTCCCGAGAAGGGAGGGAAGCTCGGGGAATCGGCGGGGGGTGGGGGTGGGGGCCGGGGCTGACCTCCCCCGCGGGGCCGCTGTGGGGCGCCCTCGCGCCGAACCCCGCCGCGCCCCCAGGACCCGGGTCCGGCCTCCCACCCGCCGCCCCACCCAGTCCCTACCTGAGGCTCCGGGCCGGCTGTCCCCGCGAGCCGCCGTGGCGCGGCGGCCGTGCCAGTCTTGGACCGCAGGCTGCGCCCCACGCAGGAACTCCCTAGGACCCCTGCCCAGGCCACGGGGTTTCCAGCCCCGCCCCCGCCCGCGGTCGTGGCCCCTGGGGAGCGGGGTCTCCCACGCCTCCCTCTGACCCTGACCCTGACCTTGACCCTGACCCATGGAGGTGATTCTCCAGCTTTCAACAAGGGCGTTTAGACGTACGCTAATATTTATGCTCTGTTTTTCTTTCTTTAATCAAAGTTATACATTCACGTGGTTTAAAGAATCAAATTGTGCCCAAGTTCTTTCTTTTAAACCTCAGACTCTCCCGTTCCCCGTCAGCCCCATCTCCTCCTGGCTTCTCGCCAGAGGCATCGCTTTGAAGTCTTTTTGCTGCTTGTCTTGGTAGCTGCCTCTGTTCTCTTTCTTAAAGGACTGTGTTGACACCACGCAATCCACACACTGGAAATGTACACTTCCGTGGCTTTTTAGTGTATTCACAGCACTGTGGAACCTCCACTGCAGTCAATCCCAGAACATTTTTATCACCCCAACCACTGATGGACTTTACGGATTTGCCTATTCTAGATAGTTCAGATAAATGAATACAAGGGGGCAGGGGGGGAGGGAAGTGAGGGGCTGACTCCTCCATTAGGGCACGGTGTCCAGGGCCCACAGAATGTATTATGATAATACAAGATGTGGCCTTTTGTATCTGTCATCAATTAAATAAGAAGCTTGCTGAGTTGTAGGCATTATCCATGGGCTTACACCAGGGAAGATGAGGATTTAGGGCCCCCTCTTCCTCTACACCACACACAAGTCCCATCCCTCATCCTCTCAATAGAGTTATAATTCTCTTTGTTCTTTAATATTATTGTGACTCTGTAAACTCTACTCAGCTATTAGTAAACTTTTTCCTTTCCTGTAGGATTTTGATAGTTTCTCATCGTCGTTTTTTTCTCTACTTTTTTTTTCTATTTTCTGTGAATTTATATCTAATTAAATCCAAACTCTGCCAGATGATTAAATCTCTTCCTATTATGTTCAGATTCAAGGTATTTTTTTTTTAAATTAATTTCATCTTCCTGGAGAAATCTCTCCAGGAGCCTTCCTGTCTGTTCAGGTCAGGGCTTTTTGTCCTCTGGCCTGGCACTGAGTGTCATCCTGGGAATCCCCCGGTCTCTCTTCCACAGTAAATCTCCTTTCTCAGTAGCCAGCGTCTTTCTCATGTTTCTCTTCACTTTGGTGTATCACATCCTCTTACATCTTTCTGGAAGAGGGAACATGGGCAGTCATTGTTTTAAAAAACTTTGTTTGAAAATGCCCTTATTCTACCTTCAAACATGATATAGACTTTGAGACTGGAAATCATTTTCCATCAAAATTTAGGAAGGCATTGCTCCATTGCCTCTAGTTTGCTGTGTGGTTGTATTTTAAAGTCATTCTCATATAAGATCTTTTGTAAATAAGCTGTTTCTCCCCCTGGATTTTCACTTCGTCCCACATGTTCTGAAATGTCCTCAAAATATTTTGGTATGGGCTCATTTTCATGTATTTGTGTTAGGCACAAATATCAGTAGGTCTTTTTTCTTTTTTTTTTTTCATATTTATTTACTTATTCGGCTGCACGGGGCCTTAGTTGCGGCGCGCGGGATCTTCGTTGCCACGTCTAGGATCTTTGTTGCAGCATCTTTAGTTGCGGCACGCGGGATCTAGTTCCCTGACCGGGGATCCAACCGGGGTCCCCTGCGTTGGGAGCGCGGAGTCTTAACCACCGGACCACCAGGGAAGTCCCAGTAGGTTTTCCTCTGGTGCCCCCAGGAAGAATCTTCTAGTCTCCTGCCTGCTACAGAAGCGCTGGGAGAAGGGAGTCAATTGGGAAAGACCACGCTCACAGCTCACAGCTCGGAGAGGAGGTGAGGAGAGCGGTGCAGGCTGTCTGGGGGGTGAACTGGAACTTTCTGTGAACAAAAGGGCTCTCTGGCCACTTCTGTGCCCCACTAGTGACAGGAGAGACTTCTGGAATGTATCCTTTTGTTGTCTTTTTGCTGGATGGAAAGAGAAAAGAGGAAATGTTAAGCACCCAGAGTTAATTATCACGATCGTTAACAAACAAACAAAAAACTCCAAGGACATTTCAACACAGGAGAGAACAGAAAACGTGAGTCACACAAGATCTTCTGGGGGAACAGGAGGAGGCTGGAGTGCCATGCACCACTTTACAGGCTCTTAACCTAAGGCCAGAGTTTTATTTTGTTTTTAATATTTATTTATTTTTGGCTGTGTCCAGTCTTATGCGGCACAGGGGATCTTCGTTGAGGCATGCAGGATCTTTCGTTGCGGCACATGGGATTCTCTCTAGTTGTGGTGTGCGGGCTCCAGAGCGCATGGGCCCTGTAGTTGAGGCGTACGGGCTCTCTAGTTGTGGCGCACAGGCTTAGTTGCTCCGCAGCATGTGGGATCTTAGTTCCCCGACCAGGGATCGAACCCGCGTCCCCTGCTTTGGAAGGCGGATTCTTAACCACTGGACCACCAGGGAAGTCCCGAGAGTTTTTTAAAATAAATCTTTTCCCCCTCGTCTGCTTGGCTGAGCCGTTGTGGAGAGGGGAGAAAATGGATTGGAGGAGGGCAAGTCTGGGCGTGGCTTCTGGGAAGAGGGGCGGCACTGACCACAAGCAAGCGTTTGGGGGAAGCAGAACTGTATTAATGAAAAGTGATAGCCACGCCTGTAGCCGGGTCTCAGCGACGGAGTGTCTTGCCCAGGTGCTGACTCACCTCTTCTCCCCCAGGGAAGCCAGGTGAACTCTGTCAAGGAAGCTAAGACCCCTGAGCCCCTCCCCACACACACGCTGACCTCTCTGAAGACGCAGAGGTGTTCTGTGCGGAGAGAGAGGCAAATGCCTCTGCTGAGGTGAGGGAACCCAAGCCCGGGGCGTTTAGCCAATCCATACGCGACAGGACAGAGCCCAGGCCAGCCATCCAGGACTCCTCAGAGCCCAGGGGAATCCCTCCTTTTTCATGCCATGACCGTAGCCAGTAGGAACAGGCTCCAAACAATAATTTGCAGCAGCAGAGAAACAGGTCTCAGTTCTGGTCGTGGGGAAGAAAGAAACGCTTACTACCCTGCCGTCTTTGTGCAGATAGAGGGTTTGGACAGAGCCACTTAGGCTGGGAACGAGCAAGATGAATAAAAAAGGGTGACACAGCATCTGTGCAAACACTATATGGAAAGAAGACAGTGAAAGAATCCATTCAGGTAGAAAAGTTAGGTTAATGAAAAGCACACCAGGACTTCCCTGGTGGCGCAGTGGTTAGGGATCCGCCTGCCAATGCAGGGGATACGGGTTCGAGCCCTGGTCCGGGAAGATCCCGCATGCCATGGAGCAACTAAATCCATGTGCCATAACTACCGAGCCTGCGCTCTAGAGCCCGCGAGCAACAACTACTGAAGCTCGCACACCTAGAGCCCCTGTTCCACAACAAGAGAAGCCACGGCAGTGAGAGGCCTGTGCACCCCAACGAAGAGTAGCCCCCCTCGCTGCACAGCAGTGAAGACCCAATGCAGCCAAAAATTAAAAAAAATTAAAAAAAAAGAAAAGCACACAGTATCTTAATTATTTTGTATCAAAGCAAAATCATCTCAATAAAGCAAGACCTCAAAGGTGAGATGAAACAACAGAATTAAGTGAAAAGGGAGATTGCAAAGCTGAGGAAACAAATTGAATATCAGAATGACAATTTCTGAACTAATAAATTAGAAAAGCAATAGAACGATAATTGCAGTTGAAGGTTGAAATCACAGACATCAAGGAAAGACATGTTCTGATCTCAGAGAATGCAAAGGGATAAAGGAGAGATTAGAGCAATTTGACAAGATACTATGTATTTAGAGGACCCAAAGGACATTTGGTGACTGAAACAGAGAGTTCAACAAACAGAATGTATAACGTGTTTAATGATATTGAGTGAATCTTCCTTAAATGATGAAGAACCTAACCCACAGCTCAGAAGGCACAGTCAGGAACACTCACAGGATGACTGATGGACACACAGATATAATTGTGTGTGTGGGGGGGGTAATTTTTATTTTGAAACAATTCCAGACACACAAAAACATTTCAAGAATAAAAAAGAACTCCTGTTTTAAATATTTCACCACATTTCCTTGATCACATATTTATCCATCCATCAATTCACCTTATTTTCTGATACATTTCAAAGTAAGTTACAGACATCAGTACACTTTACCCAATACAATTCAGAGTGCATATTAACGAGAGTTCAATATTTGTGTACATTGCTTTGAAGTAAAATTAACACGCAGTAAAATGCTCACATTTTTAGATGCTATCTGTTGAGTTTTGACAAATGCATAAACCTTTTACAAGATACAGAGTATCTCTGTCACCCCAGAATGTTCCCTCGAGTCTTTGTTGGTCCCTGTGCACCCAAACTGGAGAGGCAGAGAAGCATGGCCCCAGGCTCCCTGAGCACCAAGGATGCTCACAGCACAGACGGGGGTGTGGCCAGGCCTCTCTGGACTGAGCGCCCGGGGGAGGGCTCAGGCCTTGGCCAGCTGCTGCGGCACTGAGAGGGACCCGTACAGGGTGAACAACGGCTTCTTGGCCTCCAGGTCTCAGGTCCCCTTGGGGCTGTCGGGAGCCACCCTCAGGCTGCACTCCTCCAGCAGGCTGAAGGTGACGGCCAACCCCTCTACCTGCAGCGGGGTGAGGAGCTTGGGGTCCAGGGTGAAGGGGATGTTCCAAGGGTACTTGAAGTTGGGCTCCAGGATGCTCTTCACCTGGAAGAAATGAGGTCAGGTGTTGCAGGTCAGCCTTTGAGATCAGGAGACAAAACCTTCTGTCCCGAGAGCCAGGGGCCTCACCGGGTCATGGAAGAGGCAAAGTCATGGAGTCAAGGGGACCAGGAGTCTCGTCCTGTCCTGTCCTTTGATCGGTGTGATCTTGGATATGTCATTGGAAATTGTTGAGCTTTGGTTCTTCAGCTGCTAAATGGTGATACTAACACTGACCTTGCAGAATAGTGGTATCTGGAATTACATGTGTATGTGTACGTGTGTGCAGTGTGTGTGTGTATGTGCATACGTCTGTGCACACATATGTACTCATGTATACATGTATGTGGAGAGAGAAAGAGCAATTTGCAAATGGTAACTGTGAGAAAAGCAGAGGTGTTTCAGATCCCCTGAGCCCCCCAAACTTGTATTCCTCTTTTAGAACTGTGGGCGCCCTCTGCTGGGGTTGCCATGGAGACAGAGACCCCCATGAGGTAGACTCACACCCACCGGGCTTGCTCCCCAGAGGGAGAGGCAGCCAGAGAATTCCCGGTGGCCACACGGGATCCTTTCTCCCCTCTCAGCAGAATCTTACGTCACCTCTCTTTCCTCAGGATCATTCTTATCCCTGGCTCCCTCACCCCCATCCCTGGAGGCTGGCCCCTGGGGATTGATTTCTTCCCAGCGCCCGCTGCTGGAGAAGGATCCTCTTCTCCATGGACCAGGCCAGTAGCTCGTGTTGGGTGTCACTCAGCCCCGGGAACGAGGGGACATTTGGGGAGAGAGAGTGATGAGTAGTCAGATTCTTCTTCCCTACTGTGAACTAGGAGACCCCATGAGGGGGGGACCCGAAGGCAGAGGAAGAAAACCCGCTTGACTTGAAAGGCGAGTTCCCTCCTTCTGCTCTTGGGATGGTCTCCAGGATGCTACATAACATGGTCCAGCGGGTGGGGTTCTAGGCTGGAGCCAGGAATCATCCACACCCAATGATAGGTTGGGTGAACTTGGACTGGTCTTTCTAGATCCTGGGCTGGTTCTGTATCATACGGTGAATTTATCTCACTGACCCCTCCTGACCTTGGAGAGGGGCGTGATGTGAGATGAAGACCATGGTATTAGACGGGTTTTAGAGAGGTGGGTGGCATCTAACCCCGTCCTTTTTGGGTCTAGAGGCCAAATTTCTGACGTTCCCATATTTCCCTCAAATCACTCTTACCCAATATGGCTTTAAGGAGGGACATGAGGTGCAGTCTTAACTTGAGCCATAGATTTCTTGAGTCCTCTTGCATCTCACTTAGGAAGGTACCACCAAAGCTGTCCGGATGATCCGAGGGGCCCCGATCCAACTACAGGAAACCGGTATTATTAGTAATGCAACAACAACGATAATAGCAATAGCAATAGTGATGTTGTTTTGCAGTTTTGCCAGTATCTTTTGAGTCTACGAGTGATTAACCAAGGTGGGAGGGGGCGGGATATTCACCTCCCCCCAGATTCCAAGCAGCTTCAGCATGTGGGCTGCATGCCCTGGACCTGGTCATTGTGCCTGGACCAGCGTTTGGGACCCCCTTCTGCAGCCCTCCTTCCCCATGTATCTTGGCAGTCTATCTCCTAAACCTGCCCCTTCACAACTTTGACCAGCCTTAGGTAGAGCGGCCCCACCCCCACCAAGTCCATGAGGTCCTGCAGAGCCTCTTGGTCCTTGAGCCTGGCCAGGATATTGTGGAGAATAGCATCCTGAGTGTCCTTTGGGAGCTGGGCCATTGCCTCCATTTCCCTGCAAACCTCCTTTTGTAGGTGCTTGAAGCCTGTCCTCAGGCATCAACATCAACCAGAAAGTGGGGACAGTTCTCTGATTAGAACATCCGTGGTGAGATGAGCCAGGCACCTCCATGTCGTTTATCTACCAACCAAAAGCATCTCTGCAGATGGCATGTTTGAGCTCTGGGGATGGAGCTATCATAACAGGCTGAAAAGATGGGCAATCCTCGTGCTGTGAAGGGGCCCGGGGTGGGGTAGAAGGCAGGGAGGAGAGAAGGAGGTTCTGGAAAGAGGCCGTGGGAAGTGGAAGAAAATGACCAAGTGCTCTTTTCTGGGACACGTCTAGAATAACGTGGATTCTAGCATTGGGCTCTAGAGATGAGAATCTTAGGTGCTCTGGGCTCAGTTTCCACATCTGTTTAGTGGGAAGGTTATGAGGATTAAATGAGTTCATGTATGTAAAATGCTTGGGGGAGTACCTGGCACACATGAACTACCCTCCTTATCATGTAATTCTGCCTGTATCGTCTATGACCTCACAAAATTAAGCAAGGAGTGGAGTTGGGGGTTCTCTGCTTCTCCTAGGAGACTTCAGCTGGCCTCCAGTTGGTCTGCTGAGAGGGAGAGGTCCAGGGAGGCAGACATTTCTGTTTGGTCCACGGCCGTATCCCCACTGCTCAGAATAGTGCCTGTTGCCTAATAAGTCCTCAATAAGTGTTTGTTGCGTGCATGCACGAATGAATGAACGAATGGGGCTGAACAAAGCGTCGATTTGGAAGTAGAGCTCAGTTTTGTAAGTTGCATGCAAGCCACCTTTTGGGTAGTTGGCTTTGCAGTTTCCCACCCAGGAAGTCCCAGCTTCCCTCTTAATAGACACTGACCTTGGCCAGTGGGTTCCCGTATTCTTCCTGGAAAGAGAGTCACAAGTGATCATCTCCCTTTCTCATCCCCCAACTTTACTTTTGAGACATTTTGGAGAGTCCTGCCCTCTTAACGCCTTCTCCCTTTTGCTTAACCTCTTCCTGCCCCCATCCCTGTCTGTCCTTCCCCCTCCTTGGTCGTGTGGAACCCCTCCCATTCCACAGAAACTAGGGCCAGGCCCCGGGGCAGCGGTGGCAAAGGCAGGGGCCATCTGCCCTGCTCTCCAGACGTATGTGTGCCATTAGGACCCACTCACCCATTGGGAGGATGGGACCTCTCATGGTGCCTAGAAGAGAAATTAAATCCTTACCCAAGAGTTAGTCTCTGAAGGCACTCGGTTTCTCTGACCCTCTGCCCCCTACTTCCCTGACCCCTGTCCCCTTTCTATCTACCCCTTCCCTCCCAGGGGGCCAGACCCAGCGACTTGGGTAAGGACAGCAGAGGCAATCACGTGGCATTCTGGTTGTGACAAGAGGCCTCAGGGAGGGATCAGGTCCCACTTTCCTGGCTGTAAAATCAGCCACTCGCCTGTTGCCGATTGCAGCTGACGCTCTTCTGGAAAGATAAAGAGAAGGACTCACTCACCAAGAGTTATTTAACCTCCGCTCCCCCCAGACACACACACGTGCACACACGCACACACACCCCGGTATTCAAAGGAGAAAGGTGCCTTCCTCTGTGGCCCCACGAGTCTATGGCTTGTAAAAGACAGAAGCAATTGGCGGGCTGTGGAGGAGGTTAGCTTCCCTCTGGGTCTGCTGGCTGAGCCCCTTGCATGGCTCTTATTAGCATCCAGAGGGGGTCAGAGTTCAGGGGGGCCCGAGGTGTAGGCAGAGAACCTGCCCAGCTCAGGAACTCACCTCTGGAAAGGTTTTCCACTTATCATCATCTGAGATGAAAAGAATGTCTGGATGGGGAAGAAACCAGGTCAGGAGAGCCCAAGTTATTCCTGCTGGATCCTTTCACATCCCTGCACCTGTAGTCCCCCCCTCCCCCCCGAGCCCGTCCCCAGCTTCTTCCTCCGGATCAGGTGGGGCAGCTTTCCTCAGTGTGGCCTGGGGACCCCTTGCATCAGAATCACCTGGGATGATTGTTAAAAACTCAGAATCCCTGACCTTACTCTGTTTCTTCTGAATCAGATTCTCTAAAGAGAACCCTGGAACCTACATGTTAAATAAGCACCTCATCAAGGGATAACGTCCTAGCCCGAAGAAATGATGGCATCACTTGAACAGTGGTCCAGGAGAGACACAGCAGCATCTTTCCAGGCACAGCGTCAGCCCCAGGATGCAGCTCACTGAGCAGAAAATGTTTGGGATTTGGAGCCAGACAGACCTGATTTGGATTCCAGTTCTACCAGTTCCCAGGTGTGTTAACTGTGAACAAATTATTTTGTAAGTTTCAATTTATTCTTATACAAATGGAGATATTATTCCTAACTTCAGAGGCTGCTGTAAGTATTCAATATGCTAAAAAAGTGCCTGGGTCCAGATGTTAGTAGATTCTCAAATAATCGTAGCTCCTTGCCCTGTGCCTTTAGGCAAGGCTGGTTTGATATCTACCTGTGCGGGTGTCTTAGGGGTTCTTGGCTGTCGCACCAAGAATCTATCTGAGCACCCTTGTTTTTCACTCCTTGCCTCCTTCGTCCCTGGTTGACACTACCTGGGACTGAAGAACTTGGCTCCAGGATATCCGTGAGGTGTATTCTACTGGAACAGTAGGCTGTCCCCAGAACTGTGCGTGCGTCCCCTTCTTCTTCTATAATAGCGCCAGCTGACGGAATTTGTTGGTGCTCAACAGGTATTTGACAGGCCTCAGGTCTTTGTCTCCAAGCTCTTTGACCAAATTCTTGCTAATAGGCTCAAACAGGGAGGGCATGTTGCTAGGGGAGGATGGAAGGGGAGTGCAAAGTTCCGTTGGGAGGCGGGGAAGAGAGTGGGCAACCTCGTACAGATCCTTGATATTCTTCCCGAAGGGATGGACATTATAGGAGGTGACTTTAGGTTGTAAGTCAGACACAGAAAGACAAATACTGCAAGATCTTATTATTTTTTTTTTTTTGCGGTACGTGGGCCTCTCACTGTTGTGGCCTCTCCCGTTGCGGAGCACAGGCTCCGGACGCGCAGGCCCAGCGGCCATGGCTCACGGGCCTAGCCGCTCCGCGGCATGTGGGATCCTCCCGGACCGGGGCACGAACCCGTGTCCCCTGCATCGGCAGGCGGACTCTCAACCACTGCGCCACCAGGGAAGTCCTGCAAGATCTTATATGTATGTGAATCTCAAATAGCTAAACTCATAGAAGAAGCAGAGAGTATGATGGTGACCAGGGCCTGGGGGGAAATGGAGTGACATTGGTCAAAGGGTTCAAAGTTTCAGTTGTACTAGATGAAAAAATCCTGGAGATCTAATGTACAGAATAGTGACTATAGTTAACAGTATTGTATCGTATACTTGAAATATGCTGAGGACGTATCTTAAGTGTTCTGACCACACACACACAAAAGGTAGTGTGTGAGGTGATGGATATGTTTATTAGCTGGATTACGGTGATCATTTCACAATGTATATACGTATATCGAAATGTCAAGTTGTAAACCTTAAATATATACAATTTTTATTTGTCATTTATATCTCAATAAATCTGAAAAAAATTAAAAAGATTTATAAAAAACACAAAAAAGAAATGAACTCCAGGCAGTCGTATAGATTGGAGCTCAGAGCTAAGAAATGCCCTGGAGATCCAAGTGTTTGAGTTATCTGTGTGGAGGTAGTAATCGAAACCAGCGTAGTAAGGATGCAGACATGAATAAATAGTGAATAGCTGGGTAGACAAAAATGTGAAGTGCATTTTACAGACCACACTGAATGAGAGTAATTCATTGGAATTGCTCTCTTCTGGGCAAAGAGGAATTCGATTTCCCAGTTATACAGAATTCAGTTTTCGAACATTCACTGAGTGTTGAATAAAGACAGAATTTTCAACAGATCAAGTAAAATCCCTGATGTGACTTTCAATTCTGTCTCGTGTGGGCCCTGCAAGGGATCAATGGACAACAGAGAGTAACAAGAACAAAAAAAGATTCTCTAAGCCTGGACCTGGATAAAGATGTATCAAAGATACATCCCTGAGCCTTACACGCTTGCATGTTGTTACCAGGAATTCTCCTTTATTAATGAGAACTTTAGGAAGAAGTAGTACTTTCTTTGGGGGTCAGATTAGGACAAAAAAACCACCTCAAACAAAAACACTTCTATTCATTTGACAAATCTATCCTGAACATTTCTGTCTCTGGCAATAGTATCCTCTCTTCTTATTCATCCCCTGATTCCCCAGTTAGAACTTACCAGACTGTGTATTGTTTTGTCTTGTAGAGAAAAGATTCCAATTGAGTAGGGTCCCTTTCAATCTTCAGACGTCCTGATGTCAAGCAGAGTTTGTCAGACGAACTCCAGAGAGCAGATCAACGTGACTCTGCTCACTGTGTTTTCTTTCCACCAATAGGTCCCTGACTCAATTTCCAACGCAAAATCCTAGAAAAGCAAGCATATGACAGTCCCTCTTCTCTTCCAGGAGACTGGGCCCGGGGCTGAGCGCTGGATCATGGAATCTTAGCCTCCTAAGTCTTCCTGTTGCCCTTCGTCTTACTCTCCTCGAAACTCCTCCCTCACCTGTCTTCTCCCAATCCCGCCCTCACCCAGGGTGATTTACAGTTTCATATGAGAAATGTTCAGAGCCCTGAGTCTTGCCTAACACCAAAGATTAAGTGTTTGTCAGGGGACAAGAGCCCATGAGGGAGGCAGAATGGAAACGGTCCCGTAAATGGAGACCCCATAGATCATGGTGTCGTCCTATCCGGGGACAAGAGAGCTCCAAGGAGAGAATAATCAAGTGTGTGTTCCTTGGTAATGTACGTGGGGTAAATTCGCCGGAGGACAGACTCCAGTGGGTGCCAGGGAGGGGGTGAGGACACAGGGTGTAGGAGATTCTTAACAAAGTTTCTATGAGGGGCAAGCGGGTGGGAGAAGGCGATCACTGGAGGAGGAGGACACTTGGGGGAGGGGTTGACAAGCTGCCAGAGACCCGATCGTGTCGTCAGGTCATGGGGAAGCATCCAGGTGACCTGGAGAGGATGAGGATAAGCTTGTGTCCATCACGTTGTCAGACATTTTTTTCTAATCTTCACATCAACTCTGGAGAGATGGTCTCATTTCCGGTATACAGATGGGAAGGCTGTGTAAGAACAAATAGAAATTAAAAATATGAGGCTTAGGGCTTCCCTGGTGGCACAGTGGTTGGGAGTCCGCCTGCCGATGCGGGGGACGCGGGTTGGTGCCCCGGTCCGGGAAGATCCCACATGCCGCGGAGCGGCTGGGCCCGTGAGCCATGGCCGCTGAGTCTGCACGTCCGGAGCCTGTGCTCTGCAACGGGAGAGGCCACAACAGTGAGAGGCCCGCGTACCGCAAAAAAACCCAAAACAAACAAAACAAAAAACATTAGGCTTATTTCTCCCAGTTGAAAATCAGGGAAGAGATTTCCTTCCCCTCCTTTTCCTTAGAACCTTTATTTTAGAAAACTTGGGTAAAAGTGTAAGCACTTTCTCCTCTCTTGGAAATGTATATAAATCCTTTTGGAAACTCAACTTTAGGACCCAGGAAAGTCTTTCTCAAGGACCTGAGACCTATTCTTTGCAATGTAAGCACCTAGTATCACCCCTCCCGGATTCTGTGGAAGGGCAGAACCTAAATTCAGCGGGCACGTGCCCCAGGGTACAAATCGACTTCCTCTCGTAAAAGTTAAAAGTTTGTTTTTCTTCTGGATAAAACCAATTAGCTAACAGGTGGTCACTTCGATTACCAGGTAAAGTCAGGATAAACTACATGTGATAGGCGGTTCTGTCAAGGCTTCTTACCGGAGGACTAGTTATTATTTATCTTGAAAATAAGTCTGTGTAATTGGTTGTATCTGCGGGGCTATATACGAAAGGGTGAGATTTCTTTCTGTTTTTGCAATCTTTTAGTGGATTGCTTATGACATGCGCCACATTCTGTTTTAATGCTTATTCAATGATAACATTGAATTCTTTCTCTATTCCCTTCGTGGACAGATTTTCTGGATTGGGAGATTCTAATTATATTTCCCCAAGAGCTGAAACCCAATGAGGGGTTCACATTGCTACCAGTTACACGGCAAGTGCTCTGGCAAGTGACTGATCTGTTATGCACATTATTTCCCTTTTTGGTTTGCTATGAGGATTAAATTAGTTCATGTAGGTCCAATGTTTACTGCCCTGGACAGCATAGTAATGTTCCGTCTCTTCACCCATAGGCCTAAATTTTGTTAATATCAAGCAAGCCACGCTCGCCCGCTAGTGGTCAACACGCGACTTGCAGGCACTTCTGTGAAGTTAACCTTTCATCTAAGTTCATTGTGTTCATACTTTCCAACACTGGCAAAAACACGATATTGTTGAAAATGAGGATCCGTTTTTCTCCTCCCTTAATTACAAGCACTTCATCATCCCTCATGACCTTTAATAATACTACCTTCTCTTGGCGCCCTCAGCACAGCCTCTGACCTCTGACTAACTCTTGGGTGGGGAATTGAATTTTGCTTCTAGGCACCATGAGAGGTCCCATCCTCCGAAGAGGTGTGTGTTTGCTGGGATGAGGGATGGGATCCTAATGGCACACGTATGTCTGGAGAGCAGGGCAGATGGCCCCTGCCTTTGCCACCGCTGCCCCGGGGCCTGGCCCTAGTTTCTGTGGAATGGGAGGGGTCCTAGGAGGTGGAGGGATGGACCAGGATGGGGGCAGGAAGAGTTTAAATGAGAGGGAGGTGGTGGTAGGATGGCAGGACCCTCCAACTATCTCAAAAGTAAACTGAGGATGAGGAAAGAGATGATGACTCGTATTACTTGTGACTCTCTGTCCAAGAAGAATATAGGAACCCCTTTGGCAAGGTGAGTGTTTATGAAGAGCGAACCTGGGGTTTCCTGGGTGGAAAACCATAAGACTGATTTCCCAACTTGGAGATGACCATGAAAACTGAGATGACTCAGAAAACTGAGTCCTACTTCCATGAGACAAACATTTGTTGAGGACTTGTTGTAGCTGTTTTGTTGTTTTTGAGTATAGCCGTCCTGGTGGGTATGAATTGGTATTTCATTGTCATTTTGATTTGCATTTTGCTGATGGCTTATGATGTGAAGCATCTTTTCAAATTCTTATTTGTCGTTCATATTATATCCTTTGGATAGATATCTAATCAAATCTTTAACAATTTGATGATGGGATGCATATTTAGAGTGATGTAGAACAAGACTGGGTAAGGGGTCTGACCCAGCTGGGTTTAAGTTTCTGGCTTGCGCTCCTGGGTTCTGGTAGTGCTGTGCTTTGAGAAGCAGTGGCTGACAGGCTTGGGAGAGGAGGAGCTTTTATTAGTTTGGGGGCATATTGAATTGGAAAAGGCTGTGAGATCTCCCAGTGAAAGTGTCAAATAGGTAGCTTGAAGTAATGGCCTTGGAGTTGAGAAGTTGGGTTGATGATGTGCATTTGGGAGAGATTGCTCTATAAATGGTAACTGAAGGCATGAGGATAGATGAGGTTGATCTAGATCTAGAGGCAGTATATGGAAGAAGTGTACCTGAGACCATTTCTGAGGTTCCCCAACATTTAAGGGTGGTTGGAGAAGGTTGAACCAGGAAAGGAAACTAAAAATGAGGCGGTATGGTGGGCAGCACTTTTCGCAGCGGTCCCCGAGATTCCACGCCTTGGTCCCCAGATCCTGTGACTGTGACTTCACTCATGGGACTATGTTATGTTATATGGCACGGCTGGTCTTAAAGCACAATGCTATCCTGACGGGTCTAACCTAATCAAATACATCCTTAAAAGCGGAGAATTTCCTTCAGCTGATGGCAGAACAATTCAAAGGAATTCGAAGCATGAGATGCATTCCACAAGCTGTTGCTAATCTTGAAGATGGAGGGGCCACATGAGAAGGACTATGGGCAACCATAAGGAGTGGAGAATGAGGCCCCAGCAGACAGTCGGCAAGGAAATGGGGACCTCAGTCCTACAGCCTCAAGGAACTGGATTCTGCCTGAA